AGTTGAGAGAGAAAGTCAATACCCAAAATATGGTCAAACCTTTTATTTACGTAATGATATTACAATTGAATTCCCTACTCAAAATTACAAAGGCTTACCCTTTATATAGGGTCAAACATGTAAACAAAGTAAAAGTCAAACTATCTAGAGAAAAGTCAAACACGGTGACTTTTACACAATTATAGACAATTTTACACTGAATTTCAGTCCTAACATTCTCCCCCTTTGTATTCAGACTTGAAAGAATTTGCGCGTTTTGAGTCTCGTTTGAACTTTGTTTCTTTAAGCACACTATGTCTTCTTCAAAATAATCTCCAACTTAAAACTTCAGATGATCATTATTTGAAAAAGATCTTCTAACATTTTCCCCTCGAATGTAGAACCATGATGATCCTCTCTTTTGACAATAACGATCTTCAGAATTAATCTTTAACAAACTTTCTCTTCAAATGTAGTCTTCATCAGCAAATTGTTGTAAATTGATCTTCACATTCAACAACTCTTAGACATTGTAGCACAAGAATAATCTTTTGTAATAATCTCCAGTCGCACTCCTTTTAATTCTTTTGCCGATCTTTGTTGTTACTCCCCCTTGATTTTTATAACAAATTCCCCTTATTATGTTCGAAATTGGACATTTCATTCATTATTACATACTCCCCCTTATGATGAAATGAGAATCATTACATCATACACAAGAACGAATGAAATTTTCCGCGAAAGCCGTCAATTCATGAAATAGTAAGTATATCTTTTCAAATCCACTTGTTTAATCTTTTCAGATTAAGGGAATGAGAAGATAACAACCAATTTCAACATATGAAATTGTTTTTAATCTTATAAAAAGATTGGCCTGTGAGTATAACAAATATACTCAGTACAACGGATGTACTGTATATATGAGACTTTTTGAGACTCATCTCACCAGGTCTTCCATTCAATCATCGATAGCTTAATAATAGCATATCTATGAATGTTTCGGCAAAATAACATATAATTTGCAAAATTTGTGTAGTGTAGAAAGATAAAGCAACTAATGCTTCTGATTAGGCTCAAAAAGATAAACCGTGTGGACTACACAAATTTATCAGACTCAATTACTGATCAAAAAGACTTGAAGGGGGGGACATGTATCCTTCTGATTCAATATCAAGTTTCTTTGAATGAGAAATTGATAGATGATGAGCTGCATGCCCCAAGTGTTATTGAAACACTTATCTGTTGAGAGATAAATTAGTAGCTGGTGGGGTTGTGACAAGAATTGGCCTGGGCTTTGTCTTTTTCAATATTAGTCTCGAAAGAATTGAGAACTAATAAATTGTGTGGTATGCCCGGATTTTAGAAGTTTGGAACAGGCTTCTTATGATATTTTAATCCTGACACAACTCTCATCAATTCTTTTAACTCACAACAACTACCCCTCTCATTTTCATTTTAAGCTCAGCGCACAAACCCTTTTGTATTTAAACTCACTCAGATATGGTGGTCCTCTTGGGTAGGTTTGTCTGTTCTGACATTCCATAGAGGTATTTCTGTTAAGCACTCAGTCCCTCCTAAAATTTTAGCATTATGCACAGTTGATCACAAACAGTTGATCAAAAATATTATTGCAAATAAGCACAATGATCAAATAAAAATTATTGATCAAGAAATTTGGCTTTAAGCACAATTAATAAAAGAATGATGCGACAACAATCAGATTATTCGGTATGCGAGAGAAATGAATGAAGATCTGTAAGAACGAGTTTACAGATTCTGATTAAAAAAATATGAAGTGTATATCAATCAAGGTAAAAAAAATCAGAAAATCAATCTTTGAATACAAACGAGCATATTATCACCGAAAATGATTTTTGTATAAGAGATGTGATAATCATAGTTTGAAGAATAGCTGAAACAAGTATTGGAGTTATGTACAATAAGAAATTACACAAGTAAAATCTCAGAAAATATCTGTTCAGAAAATGTACTCGTTTCAAAAAAAATTATTCACTTCCCTAAAACATTTATTTAAAACTTCTAGAGACTCCCCCTATAAAGTAGATTATAGTAGTGTTTCAGTTAAGCTAAAAAAAAATAAAGGAAACATTTTAAGCATGGGTCCTAAACTGAGTGTTTAGAAACCATACTCGGTAAAGCACCGGTCCTGAACTGAATTGTTCAGAAGCCTTTGTTTGAACATTTTACAACTCCCCCTACATTAGTGCATCAATGATATGATATTCTGATCAGCGCAAACTTGACGCACTTGCAAAATCAGATCAAATAGATTTTGGTACCCAAACAAACTTGGGTCCTATTTTGTTAGTATCGGACTGGGGTATGTTGTAACTTCCAAACCATCTATTTCTATTAGATGTTTTCCTTTTAGCACTTTGAACAG